ATTAAGACAGTGCTTGTCCTTACTCTGCTAATAAGGAATATGATACCCTATCTGCTAACAAGGAATATGACTCCCTATCAAGATTAACACGAGGGCAGGTAGTACCCCCACCCCTGCCTATAACAGAAAAGGGCCAGTGGATGAGACCATTTGGTTGGCTGATGACATAAGGCACAGCATGACAGAGCTATAAAAAGCTAAAAAAAAATTCCAGGTAAGTTTTGCACTCATAAATAAATACCAGAAAAAAGAAATCATGAGAGGGCACGTATAAAGAAACAGAAATAACAGAGCTGGGTAAAAGACAGCCTAGCAAATACTAATGAAAAGGGGCTATCAGATTAGAGAAGCTGAATCAGACCAGCATCTATGTCATGGAAAAGGTTTGTCCCTCCTGTCTTCTACACAAAATGTGGATAGAGGGTGGGGAAGCATACTCAGTGGGTCAAATCAGTAAAACAAATTAACAGCTTTGATCAAAAACTAGAACTCTGACCCCAACCAAAATCAACCTTCCTCTTTCAGAGATGAAAACATGATAAACAGAAGTAGCCCGGCCTTTGTCTACAGAGTTGGGTATAAATTGTGTTTCCCCAACTTAATACAGGGTATCTCAGGAGAGAAACTGATGATAATGATATGATGATGATGATGATGATGATAATTACAGAGGATTAAAATGAAGTAGATTAGACTGGCAAGAAACACTAGGTCCAGAAGAAGAAATCGCAGATTTGAAAAGAGGAGCAACAAAAAGGAGGCCTTGGGGAAAATCATTTAGAGCTCTGAATCTGTATTAAGTTTCTGAAGTAATAGGAAAGCATATTTATGATTTATTCAACTGGTGAGTGTTTATATTTCCAAATCCCCACAATGTTCTAAGAAGCTAACAGAGTAATCAGAGAACACAAGAAAGAAGCACTTAACTTAAGACTAAGGAATCAGAAAATGTTTCTCAGGAGAACTCTATATTAAGATCTGAAGGATTAGTAGATGGAGCTGATAAAGGCAAGAGAAGGAAGTTCCCAAGTGGAGATAACTACTTTCCAAAGATCTAGTAGAATGAAAACAGAGCAAGCTCCAAAGACTGAGAGTATTTCTGCATGGCTAAAGTATACAGTATAAGAGAAGGCAAAGGAAATGGGAGGGATGAGAGAAATAAACAGAAATCATTTTTTTTTCTTTTTTTCTTTTTTTTGGGACAGAGTTTCGCTCTTGTTACCCAGGCTAGAGTGCAATGGCGCCATCTCAGCTCACCGCAACCTCCGCCTCCTGGGTTCAGGCAATTCTCCTGCCTCAGCCTCCTGAGTAGCTGGGATTACAGGCACGCGCCACCATGCCCAGCTGATTTTTTGTATTTTTTAGTAGAGA